CGGAAGGTCCACCAGCTGAGGAACCGGGCAGTGAGCTTGGTGAAGGTGCGGTGGAGACGACACGATGAGTCTGAGGCGACTTGGGAGAGGGAGGACTATATTAGGAGGCATTATCCAAACTTTGAGTTCTGAGTTCCTCTTGTATTTTATTGCTTTCTAGTTTTATTTTCGAATTCCGAGGACGGAATTCTTGTAAGGTGGGTAGACTGTAACGCCCCGTTCGTTTATGAATAAATTGGATTTTATTATTATTATTATTATTATTATTATTATTATTATTATTATTATTATTATCATTATTATTATTATTGTTGTTGTTGTTGTTATTATTATTATGTGTTGATTTATATCTAATTGTCTAATTGCCTAAATGAACATTTTACGTGCCTTTTGTGTATTTAATATAAATATTAAATTGTAAATTATAAATATATTGCTAAAAAATATTTTAATTTATTTCGGGTCATCCGAGCCCGATTAATTTTTCCTAAGTGTTAACCGAGATTAAGCGGCCCAAGCCAATTAGTTGCGACCCGCGCCCATGGCCTGAACGCCCGTTCCTTTGTCCCACCCAGCCCTCTTTTTTCTCTCTCTTGGGTAGCTTGTTGACTAAGCTATGAAGTCAAAGCCCTAGTCCTATAAATAGAAGAGATTGGACTCTCTTCCTCGTCATTTTTTTTCCCCGCAGCCACCATCTTTCTCTCTCGCTAATCTCTCCAAATCTCTCTCATGATTTCTCTCGTTTCTCTCTCCCAATTGATCGCCCTCCCACTCTCCGTTGCAATCGATCACCATCGTCATCACCTCGGAGGCTTCACATCGCTGCCCTACCGCAAGCCAGGCCCATCGCTGTTCGCGCGCCCTGTGGCTGTCCAGCACCCAGCAGTCGCACGCAAGCCCTCCCAGCGGCCAGCAGTCGTGCGCAAGCCCTCCCCGCGGCCAGTAATCGCATGCAAGCCTTCCCAGCGCGCCTAGCAGCACCTTTTTAGCCCCGTCCGAACCCTCTTTCGTGCAAATTTCCCGAGAACAGTACAAGGCTGTCTAAACCCGTTATTTTTATATGTGTATGTGATATATGTGTTAAGCCTTGAAGAGAATTGCATGTTAGGGTTTGATATATGATCTATGAATTGTGTGTTATGTTTTTTTCTCATGAAAGCATGTGAATTATTGGGAACTCGTGATTAGGGCTGTGGAATATTAGAACATTTGAAGTCTTTGGCCTCATGGTGAAGGCCTTAGACGTTGTTGAGTAATTTATCTTTTATGCCTTTTTGAATCGGTTTTGCTGCTGAACGGTTATAAAATCATTATAAATCTTGTGTTGGTCTGATTGCTGTGAAAATTGAGCTGTGTGAGTCTCTTTTGGTATGATGTGTGGTGTACAAATTTCAGGTCGAAATAGCGTCTGTAGCCTTGTCAAATGTCCATTTGACATTCTGGTCAGAAACTTGGAAAAAATCATTAAAAATCGGATTATTGGTATTTTGCTGTGATTTTTGGTAAGTGTTAGTAATATGAATGTTATATGCATTGTGTTCAAATTTCGTTGAAAAATTCCAAGGATTGCTCGGAGAACTAGAAAATTCAGATTTGCATCGCCTTTTTGTAAAAATTGGTTACTTAGGTTAAACTGAGGTTTTGAGTCTGATACTTTGTGAAAATATGCCCGTTTGGTCTATTTTAATGTGTAAAAATTTCAAGTAAATTGGTCGAGTACTTTTCAAAATCGGTCGGTCCTAATTGAAACCCTGCATGTCTGCCGTGCCCTGTGCACTGCTGCCAGCACCCCAGCGCACACGCCAGTGCCCCAGCACGCACGCCAGCATGATGAAGGATCGTGTGTTTCGTTTCTACTCGACTCGCCTCGAACCAAGCCTCGCCACAACTCTCCCTCGACTGATAGGTGTGATCGACTCGGTTATTAGCCTAACTCTCTCACGATACTTGAGTTCACTCGGTAATTAGCCTTGCTCCCTCGATTTTGAACTAGCTCGGGTCTTAGCCTCACTAATTCGATTGCATGATCGAACTCTCACGAATCCTAACACACGGTTTGAACAAACGGTCCTTTTCTATTCACTCATCAATTCCAAGACTATTAAATCAATGAGGGGATACTCCTATTTATAGATGCATAAAATAAATCTAGGCCTAAGCCAATTGGATCTCCTAATTCTAGAATGAAAAGAAACATTGTTATAAAATCCTAATACTACTATAATTATTCTTGCTTGACTTGCACTCCAATCCAAAGTCTTGAGCTCCAAGTCATGCGCCCCAAATTAGTTCGGCCGCCTTCTCGCACGCCTTGCGCACGCCGCCCTTCTGATCCTACTCCTTGTCGCGCGTGGAATCGCGCGCCGTGTGCCGCATGTA